TCTCTTTCGCAACATCTTGAGGGTTAAAAATTTCTGATGGACAACTGAGTCCTTTCGAGCACTGTGTCGACATTCGACAACTCAACCTTTGCAGAAACTCACTCCTGTACACGCGGCTCACTTCACAGCTCAGACAGGGGCTACGACCCTTGCACTGATGCATCCACCAACTAGCCCAGGTAGAAGATGATGAAATGCTTCGTCTCGTGGTTCACATAGGAACCGAAGTTTCGGCCCACCACGCAATGCCAGGTGGGATTGTACTTCTTGTCAAACTCCTTCTTGATGAACGCGGCAATGTCCACATCAGCAACGGCGCTGATTCGGGGTTCTGCTTCGCCTCAAAAAGCCAGAAGAAATAGCTCGTGATCGGGTTCACTGAAATGTAGCCTGCCGTCTGCTTCACACTGGAGTCGCATAGACCGGGGTTCGTGAATCCCTCGCTAACCTCCTCCTCGGTTCCCGCATGCTCCTCGGCTTCCCTTGCCAGCTTTTCCAATGTCGAGCGATTCCCATACTGCAGCTGCGGCTGTACCCTAAGGAGGGGCAGGGAGATCAGAAGCGCCCGTGCAGTCAGCATGGCGAAACACTGGTGGATCTGGAGGGATCTGACTGATCTGAGCAACTTGAGCCTTGAGCCAAAATGGCTACGGTTTAGGGTTTAGGGCTTAGGGTTTAGTGCTTAGGGCTTAAGGCTTAGGGCTTAAGGTTTAAGGCTTAGGTTTAGGGTTTAGGGCTTAGGGTCTAGAGTCGAGGGCTTCGGGTTTGGAGCCTAGGTTCGAGCTCAGGGTCCGGAGCCCAGGGTTTGGGGTTGAGGGTTGAGGGTTTAGGGTTTAGGGTTCCAGGGTTTGGGGTTTAGGGTTTAGGGTTTAGGGTTCCAGGGTTTTGGGTTTAGGGTTTATGGTTTAGGGTTCCAGAGTTTGGGGTTTAGGGTTTATGGTTTAGGGTGCCATGGTTTGGGGTTTAGGGTGTAGGGTTCCAGGGTTCGGGGTTCGGGGCCATGGGCTTCCCAAAGGAGCGACCTGTCATTACCACGAAGAAAGACCGAAGGACATCAAAGGGGCCCTGGTACTGTTGATGATATAAACCCTGCATTACCCTAAGGACCCTAAACTAAGGGAATTTGGGAATGTTCCTGATTATGGGTAATGCAGGAATTCTATCATCAACCGTATGACCCCATATGATGACTGCAGCTCAGACACAGGCCTCAAGTCGCTAGACCCGAGGCGACATTTTCTGAACTAAGGGCTAAGGGTTGCGGTTTAAGGGTGTGAAGTTTAGGGAGTCTTCAGAGTTTAGGGTTTTGAGCTTTAGGGCCTTTGGGCATATCAGTCAAAGCAAAGTATCTAAAATCCAGCAGGATGCGCTGTGACGATGCTGAGGCGACCTCGCTGAATGGCCATGAAGAACTCATCGCCGGGAGCAAAGCACATCCTCTGCTCGAAAACCTTCGGGAGGCCCGACAGAATTGTAGATGAAAGCTGCAGCCAGTTATGGCGTTTGGGGTTTAGGGTTTAGGGTTGGGATATGCTTAGCCTTAGCACAGCATTCTGAATTCTCTGCGAATTCACGAGGCTTTAGCGAAGAATCTGGAAGGCTTCCCCACCCATGATTTAACGAGCCTCCCGCGAAACCATTTTGATACTGTAACCGCTCGAACTCTTGTGTGATGAGCCCTGTTTAAGCTTGAAACCTCCAAACCATAAACCCTGACCTTGACCTTACACTCGTCAGCTTACCACAACGGTTGACATACGGGCTCTTTGGTCAGAGGAGCAGTTTGCGTGCTAGCAAATCACGATTTAAAACCCCAAAACCGACCCAAAACCCTGAACCCAAAGCCCTAAACCCAAAACCCTAAACCCCAATCCCTGCCTGGTAGGAGGGAGTGAAGTGGCGCCGCAACTCAGGGAGGCGCTCGGCCACCGCCTCCACGGCGGCATGACTCTCACGCACACGGGCTGCGAGCGCCTCGGTTTAGGGTTGAGGGTTTAGGGTTGAGGGTTTAGGGAAGCAAGAAGCTGCTAAGGGGTTTGGTTCAGCGGTTTATTCCTGTAGGGCTTCAGGGTCTAGGATTTAAGATTTAGGTTGTTGCAACGACCGTTCGCAGTACGCCGCATAGGGCAACTTCCACACAATCTCAACAACAGTCCGCACTTCAACCCTCAAACCCTAAACCCTAAACCCTAAACCCCTAAACTCCTAAACCCCTAAACCCCTAAACCCCTAAACCCTAAACCCTACACCCTTAACCGTGTCGACCATCAAATGAACCCTAAACCCCAGGATTCGAACGCTTGGTGCCCTTCCCAACGACTCCAACACTCCTCTCGTGAGGCTGTCGCTGAGGGAGCCTGCGATGATGAAGGGACTTCGGGCACCCTCACAATATAGGGGCCCTAATACTTCGAATAGGGTTTTGGGGATATTCGGAGCCCCCAAAATATTATAGGAAATTGTGAAGGCCCCGAAACTAAACAGCTCCAAGACACCCCCCCCTAGAACGCGTAACACAAAAAAGAAAAAAAAACACAAACCACCAAAGACCCTGCAAAATTATTAGAAAATCAGCGCACCGTCTAAAACCCACCCTGCAGAACCCTCGAAAGCAAAGTGTAGAACCCAGAACCTTTTTCTGGGCGCCTCGGGGCAGCCTGCGCTCCAGGCGCACCGCTTCTCGTTGTAGGCCTTGGCCTCGCGCAGGGCCTCGCGGCGCAAGCGCCGGAAGATCAGCCCAAACCTTGGATTGGAATAGACGCTATAACCCCTGAACCCTAAACCTCTAAACCCTAAACCCCTCAAGCCTAAACCCTAAACCTCTAAACCCCTAACCCTAAACCTCTAAACCCAAAACCTCTAAACCCTAAACCCTAAACCCCTAAAGCCTAAACCCCTAACCCCTAAATCCTAAACCTCTAAACCCTAAACCCTAAATCCTAAACCCCAAACCCTAAATCCGGTGTTTGATCAGGTTTAGGGTTCCGGCTTCGCAGTTGTCGGGAATAGGGTAGTCTATATAGGTGGTTGTCAAAATTAGGGTCCCTTTTTGGGTACCCTAAATATTAGGTGCCGTATTATATTGCGGACCTATAAAGGGACCATTTATTTTGACAACCACCCATATAGGGGCTTTCGTTCTGGGATTTGAGAAGGCTCGGTGAAGGTTCGGAAGATCCCACAGAGGTTCTTTGAAGCTTTTGCTGGTTCAGGGCTTTTCGAGGTCTGGAGGATTAGGAGTAAGACCTTTGGGTGGTGAGGTGTGTCGAGGTTTGAGGCCTTGAGCTTACGGGCGGCGACTTCGGATTTAGGCAAGCTTTAGGGTGTTTAGGGTTTAGGGTCTAGGGTTTAGGGTTTAGGGTTTAGGGTTTAGGGTTAGGGTTTAGGGCAGCCTACCGGCTGTTGAAAATGAAGGACCGAAGTTGTTGTGTGTGGTGGCTTCTTGCACTGAAACTTCGAACCTGAGCAAAGATTGCTTCGCTCGTTTGACGAGACTTGGCTGAGAGCGCACGGCCAGGTACTTGGCTGTGGTTTAGGGTTTAGTTTTGGCTGCGTGGTCTTGTGCTGGGTGGCAGGCACCGCCCCAGCCATCGGAATACGCCTCCACCTCTCACCAACCAGGCGGCAATGGCCCATGCAGACCACGGCGCATGACCTCATGCTCCAATCAAGCAACTTCTGCAGTTGGAAATCCTTCTTGATTCAGACATCCTAGCCACAAGGAGGCTACCACTGCGGACCCTAAACCCTAAACACAGTATGTGAATCCCGGGACCCCAGGCCTTTCAATTCTTTACCCGAAACTCCCAGCGAGACAGGCCTCGGACATGTCAACCTTGAGCACAGCATGCTGCAGATGCTAAGATCCTTGATGATGGTGTAGGGTCCATACTCCGACGGTTTAGGTTCAGGGTTTAGGGTTTAGGGTTTAGGGTTTAGGGACATACTCCTCAATTCAATAGGAATCCCAAGCAGCCCCTCTAAACCCTCCATAACACAAACTACACATGTCATGTGCTGTGGCTCTTCTTCAGCGCCCAGGGGCGCAGAGGTGCTGATTTGATGTAGCTCGGAGAGCGCTGCAGCATCACCACGCTCTGGGCCTTCTCCGCCAAGGCAGGAGCAGCCGTGACCTGGGCACAAAGAAAGAGCCCAACAAAAGACGAACCCTGGGTAGTAAGAGAAATCCTGTCTTGTACATTTCGACGCCTTCTCATGTAAGGCCCTTATATCTGGATCCGAGGCTATGAATCAAAGTCCTACATCTCCGAACAAAGTCCAGCCACCGCAGAGGCCCCGCTGCCCACGAGGATGACGCGCTTGCCTTCGAGGCTCATGTCCTGCGTTTGAACATGGGCGTTTCGGAAACTAGGGAGGCCCTTGTGTTCCGTAAACCACTGCGTAAAGGGCCCACAAACTCCTTATAAATCTCTATGAGCATGCTAAGTAGTAGAACCAGCTAAAAACCACGTAAATCCAAAGATCTACAGCTGAAACCTTAAAGTGTAAAGGCGATGTTTGTTAAGACCCTAAACCTGACAGCCTCTACTCTTGCATAAGACGCCCCTCCCCCTTAATTTGCACCCGAAGCCTTACTTGGAACCCTAGAAATTGGGGGGGCCCTTGAAACCCTGCGAACCGGCGCCAGAAATCCTGCGGCCAGGCATGCGTGTGCACCAGCCTGCCCCCAGGGTTCAGGGTTTAGGGGTTT